TCTTCCGATGGTAATTCAAATTTTAGTCAATCACGTTGGGAAACTAGGTTTTCCCGTTAAATCCAACCCATTAATAGTTGTAATGTCTTTAGAGATATAAAGTTTAATAAATATAAATTTTATCAATGATAGAAAATTATGTTTAATATAACATGTAAAATAATTATTATCAAAGTCAATAATTTTATTATAAATTATGGTTTATAATTAAATAAAAGTATAAAAATACTTTATATTATTATATATATAATATCAGTCGACATTAAATATAAATTGATGCACTTATACCATTTAATAATTTTTAAATTTTTTTTTAAAGAATATGAATTTTATCGAATTAATTTTTTAGGGTACATATATTAAATTTGTAAAAATTTCCTGCAAATATTACTTTATTTTAAAGATAATATATTATTACGATATAAGTAATTATTCATTACATAACGTATAAACAAATGTCTAACTTTTGTGATTTTTTCTCTAAAAAAATATTGTGAATTTTAATATGAAAGATAATATTGAGAGAGAGAGAGGTCATGGGATGGTTAATTAGCTAAATTAATATTTAGTAACTTTATTGTAACCAATTAATAAACTGAAGTAGAAATGGATATATTGAGTTTATTTCCTCTCCTTGGGCTGCCACGGAGTTTAGAAATGGATATTTATCTTTTTGTCACTATGTAAATTATCCTTGTAATTTTCGGTTATTCCCTGAGGTCTGGGAACTTTTTACACAAATAATACTATTTAAATTTTTTTTACCTAAATAGCAACTGTGTAAATTTATTTCTCTAACTAGTATCATTTATTGTTCAGTTTGGAACGGGCCGTTCTGAAATCAGAACGGACCGTTCCAGATTAAAAAATAACACATGAAAAATGGACAAAATCAAAATTAGCACCTAAAAAATGAAACCAAAACGGGTCATTCCGCAAGCAGAACGGGCTGTTCTGACCTATCAATAAATTATTTTTTTTACTTCGATTTTTTACTTATCAAATACCAAAACTCAGAAATTAACATCAAATAATTAAATTTATTGAATATTATCATTATAAATATAACTAAATAAATTTATTAAAATTCATTACAACAATAAAGATCAATGGTAACAGAAACTGAATTCATGACCAATATTTGGATATGTCTTCCTAGTGTGACCAAGGGTGTGACAATAGTAACAATTTTTTACACGATTATGTTGTTCTCTAATGTCCATCTCTGTTCTAATCTTGCTAGACTTTGGCCAACCCTTGAAAGTTCGCTTGAGTTCTGGATTTGACCATAAAGTTAGACCAGTGTAAGAAGGCTAATAATCTTCATGTTGGAGCTCTCCAAACTCTCATTCGTATACATTTCTGGAACTTGCTGCAATCATACCACATTTCATTTAGCTTACTGTAAATCTTCCAGCGGGTCAAACTTTTCTCAGATGTTGCGTTTCTTTCAACTTTGTGGCCAAATTCAGAACTCAAGAGAACTTTCAAGGGTCGGCCAAAGTCTAGCAAGATTAAAACAGAGATGGACATTAGAGAACAACATAATCAGTTTCTGCCACCATTGATCTTTATTGTATTAAATTTTAATAAATTTATTTAGATATATTTATAATGTTAATATTCAATAAATTTAATTAGTTAACGTTAGTTTTTTAGTTTTGGTATTTGACAAGTAAAAATCGAGAAAAAAAATTATTGATAGGTCAGAACGACCTGTTCTGGTTCCACTTTGTATGTGCTAATTTTGATTTTGGAACGACCCGTTCTGACCCATTTTTCATGTGTTATTTTTTAATCTGGAACGGCTCGTTCTGATTTCAGAACGGTCCGTTCCAAACGTGAACATTAAATGATGCTAATTGGATAAATAAATTTACACAGTTGTTATTTGGGTAATTTTTTTTTAAATGCGATGATATATATATATATATAATATTAATCATATTAAATCATAAATTGAAATCTAATTTTTGTTTTCATTCCTCGAATCATAAAACATTAAGCCTTACGTCTTTTACACCCATTTTTTATACACGCCCTTGAACATATTTCTATATTATTATTTTTTTTTTATCATTTTTCATAACACTTTTTTTTTTTCATTTTCTTTGTTGATTTCTTCTTCCAATAGTATGGCGTGAAAACATAATTTCTGTATAACTATCTATATTTGTTCCATTTTCACTTGTCACGATTGATGGATGACAAAATTGTGCATCCAAGTTCGGGACAACTAGAATCCTCAATTGGTGGTCTCTAATCATATTTAAAAAATTATAGGTATGGAGATCGACGAATATCGCTTTCTTTAGCCGAAAGGTAAACACAGGAACATGTATTTCTCCCAATAACTTTCCTCTGCTTGCAACCAAAATGGTAACAAAATGTTTTTCCTTTTTAATTATTAAAAACGTTCACCATTGAGGTGAATCTAAAAAAACACAAAAACTAGTTCAACAAAGAATATGATTAACGATGAAAAGCAGAGAAAAATGTAATTAAACTTAATCTGCACATCTTATTACATGTCTAAAGGGATTAAATTAGTTACATTTACTTCCCTCGCCCGATTAGGTTTAATGTCAGTATAAACTATTTTACAAATATTTTTTAATTTAATAAAAATATAAGAAATATAATTTGTTTTAAAATATGCCAACTATATAACAGAATGAGACAAATCAGAATGAGTATACACTCGCATTTTCTCAAAAACTTTTTTTTCTCTCATCGCTTGCTAAGTGAAGTTGGATCACGAATAGGTGATTTCTTACGAGTGTTTCTTTGTTTCTTTGAAGGTTTGTTTTATTTCATTAGTTGAAGTACTTGTAAAAAAATGGAGTTATCATTCAGTATTGGTGGAGTTAGGTTTTTGGGCTTGGGCCTGAACAGAATAGAACCATTAAACCTGTGCAATGTGAATATCTTGAAGGCTGATGATATATACACCTCCATTTTTTTATACATACACCCCCTTTTTAAAAAAAATATTAAATTCCTAAATTATCCTTAATATTATTTGAAATAAAAAAAATTAATTATCCTGGAAATTTTTTATTCGGAGGTATATTTGTACATAATTATGGAAAGTTCTTTCCGAAATACTAAAATTACTATTCCGGAAATAACTTTCCGTCGGAATAATTCTGGAAAGTACTTTCCATAACACTAAAATTACTATTGCGGAAAGTTCTTTCCGAAATTATGGTAACAAATACACACTGTTAATATTCTGGAAAGAATTTTTCGCAATAGTAATTCTAGTGTTACGGAAAATATTTTCCATAATTATTTTGACGGAAAGTTATTTTAGGAATAGTAATTTTAGTATTCTGGAAAGTACTTTCCATAATTATTCTGACGGAAAGTTCTTTTCGGAAGACTCATTATATATACACCTCCTGTTTTTTTTATAAGTACACCTTCTTTATTTTTTTAAAAAAATTATAAATATTATATATATATATATATATTTTAATTTTATACCTTTAACTTTCAATTTTCTACTTTTTTCTTTTTTTTCACACACTTTTTTTTTCT